AATCTTTAATTTGAATAGAGGTTTCTGGCTGAGTGAATAATATTTATACTCCCTAACATACTTGACTTCCCGTGATAAACTGTTTTGAAGCAAATGGTTCGTTGTCATAAAATGTACTTAGTCGGTGCGTCATAATATTAAACAAGGGTAACAATGATCTGGAATAAATATCTCAGTAAATCTAAACGAATACATTGACAAAAATCATAATCATTTTAGATATGTACTTATCGAATTGTTAAGCACTGAATTGAATTGACACTTTTTTCTCCTTGGTTGATAATAAGAACATTTCATTTTGACTAGCTTCATTCAAAACCTTGCTTTTCACTATATTATGACAACTGTCATCTCAGCTTTCTTTTTTCTTTTTTTTTCAAACAACATTAATATTGGTGTATTTTTTTGTTTCCTAATTAAAATACTTTTCTGCCTAAAATTTTCTCTTTAATGCATTTAACTTTAGGAAATATAAAAATGCATTTCTGACGTCAGAACAGATATAGAGAAATTATTGTGAATAATTGAACTTTTCGAAATTGGTTTGTAAAGATTTGTACTGGAGATGTTTCACTAAATAATGCTCTACAGTCGGGAAGATCAAAGTATAAATTCTCTCAAGATAAGCCATGTTTATTTAATGACAAAGCAAAAATGGTTACGACTTGACTGGGTGATTTTCACTCGTCCACCATAACCAGCAGATCAGATTATAATTTGTCCTGATCATTATAGAATTCTCTTAATGAAAAGATCAATTTTCCTGGAAGTCTGAAAAATACATCGAGACCAATTTCTGGCAATATTTGGTTGGCGTATGGTCACCGTCCTCATCTAGCCATTGCTTCATTATCAATTAAATTCAAGGTATAATTCAACAATTTTTGTGCTCACGTTGTGTCGAAAGATCTGGAGAAAAGGACAAAAATGTGCCGTGATCAGACGAAGGAATATAGATGTTTTTTTTAGCGAAACCTTGTCTAATTGAGACGGTTCATTGACGAACAGTCACTGCTAGTGTTGGCGATTTAAAAACTAAATATAAAGAGTTTTATTGCAACCTGCTTACAAAATGATATATTCTATTCATTTCTATGCTTGGTCGGCTCAGGAGATTTCTGTGGCCTAGCATATGTGATGATTCCTTAAGTTTACGAATTTTCCAACGATATTCTTTGTCTATGATTTCAACTCGATCCCACAGGGGGCGGTGATCTCCTTTTTCTCTCGTTATCTGGTCAGCCACAATTGATTTTTCCACTTCTCCTTGTGTTACAGCTTTTTGGTGTTCTTGAAGCCTTACCTTAAGGGCGGCCTGTCTCCCCTTTATATTTCTTTCCGCAGCTGCACGGTATGGCGTACACACAGTCTTTATTCATGTTCTCCTCTATGGTCTTACTCGGGAGAGGTAAGTGTCGTTCCGCTTTTGAAGGTTGTCCTGTTATATGGACCGCAGATCCTTTGGATGTTCTCCGATAACCCCTGGCAGGCAGACTGTTTTCTGAGTATTGTTGTCCTTCTCTTGTAACCGCCTATCCCAGTTTATTGGGGCTTCTGCCATGTACCCAGGGTAGTTGTTACGTTGTAGGGTGCTACTTATACTGACCAATTCTTTATCTAATGTCTCTAAGTCGCCACTTACGACTTTTGCTCGGTGTTGTAATCAGCGGACGATCTCTCACTGTATACTGTATGGATGGTGGGAGTTGAAATTGAGGTACTGTCCGGTGAATGTCGGTTTGCGGTATTTCTAGAATGAAATCCTTAATGAGGTGTTATACTTACTAGCCAAAAATGGATCAAGATATTGAAAAGTTAGTGAAATCATGCAGAAGTTGTGCTCTGGCAGCGAAGTCACCACCTATCAAAATTCAGCCTTGACCCAAAACCTATATGCCATAGTCCAGAATACATATAGACTTCGCAGGACCGTTAAATAGAGCATACTATCCAGTGGTAGTCGATAGTTACACAAAATGGCCAGAAATATTGAAGGATAGAAGACCGACTACCGCGGTAACGATAAAAATTCCTACACGAGATTTTTGCAAGTTTCGGTGTTCCTGACTATCGTTTTTGAGATAATGAGACTCAATTCACGTCTAGTGAATTCAAGTTTTTTTTTGTTTTTTTTTGCAAATTATTAGCAATAGAATATATTACAACTCATTAACCAAGATCAAACGGACAAGCGGAACGGTTTCTCAATATGTTTAAAAGGGCACTAAAAAAAGTCGGAGGGAGAGAAGTCACATGAAGAAATGCTACAACAATTTCTGAGTGTTTACAGAATAACACCAAACCTGAACACCGTATCTGGAATGTTACCTTCTTCAGGAAGTTTAAGTTTTTATTTAACAAATTAATACTCGAACGGAAGATGAGAACATCAAGGAATCAAAATAATTATTTTAAAACTGGTGATAAATTTTTTTTTTTAAACTGGGTCAACGTGGAAAAGAATTCTGGGAAGACTATATAAAAAAAATGGATAAGAAAAATGACATCTCTTCTTTATCCGTTTTATTCTCTCATCCTCTTCATTCTCTCATTCTCTTTATCCTCTTATCCTCTTTATTCGCTCATCCTAATCCACTGTCATCTTTATCCTCTTTATTCTCTCATTCTCTTTATACTCTCATTTTTTCCTGTTTATTCGCGCATCCTCTTTATGCTCTTTATTCTCTCATCCTCCTTATCTTCTTTATCCTTTTTGTTCCCTCATCCTCGTTATTCTCTCATCCTTCTTATCTTCTTTATCCTTTTTGTTCCCTCATCCTCGTTATTCTCTCATCCTCCTTATCTTCTTTATCCTTTTTGTTCCCTCATCCTCTTTATTTTCTCATCCTCCTTATCTTCTTTATCCTTTTTGTTCCCTCATCCTCTTTATTCTCTCATCCTCCTTATCTTCTTTATCCTTTTTGTTCCCTCATCCTCTTTATTCTCTCATCCTCCTTATTTTCTTTATCCTTTTTGTTCCCTCATCCTCTTTATTCTCTCATCCTCCTTATATTCTTTATCCCTTTTTTTCCCTCATCCTCGTTATTCTCTCATCCTCCTTATCTTCTTTATCCTTTTTGTTCCCTCATCCTCTTTATTTTCTCATCCTCCTTATCTTCTTTATCCTTTTTGTTCCCTCATCCTCTTTATTTTCTCATCATCCTTATCTTCTTTATCCTTTTTGTTCCCTCATCCTCTTTATTCTCTCATCCTCCTTATCTTCTTTATCCTTTTTTTGTTCCCTCATCCTCTTTATTCTCTCATCCTCCTTATCTTCTTTATCCTTTTTGTTCCCTCATCCTCTTTATTCTCTCATCCTCCTTATCTTCTTTATCCTTTTTGTTCCCTCATCCTCTTTATTCTTTCATCATCCTTATCTTCTTTATCCTTTTTGTTCCCTCATCCTCGTTATTCTCTCATCGTTCTTATCTTCTTTATCCTTTTTGTTCCCTCATCCTCTTTATTTTCTCATCCTCCTTATCTTCTTTATCCTTTTTGTTCCCTCATCCTCTTTATTCTCTCATCATCCTTATCTTCTTTATCCTTTTTGTTCCCTCATCCTCTTTATTCTCTCATCCTTCTTATCTTCTTTATCCTTTTTGTTCCCTCATCCTCTTTATTCTCTCATCCTCCTTATCTTCTTTATCCTTTTTGTTCCCTCATCCTCTTTATTCTCTCATCATCCTTATCTTCTTTATCCTTTTTGTTCCCTCATCCTCGTTATTCTCTCATCCTTCTTATCTTCTTTATCCTTTTTTGTTCCCTCATCCTCTTTATTTTCTCATCCTCCTTATCTTCTTTATCCTTTTGTTCCCTCATCCTCTTTATTCTCTCATCATCCTTATCTTCTTTATCCTTTTTGTTCCTCATCCTCTTTATTCTCTCATCCTTCTTATCTTCTTTATCCTTTTGTTCCTCATCCTCTTTATTCTCTCATCCTCCTTATCTTCTTTATCCTTTTGTTCCCTCATCCTCTTTATTCTCTCATCATCCTTATCTTCTTTATCCTTTTTGTTCCCTCATCCTCGTTATTCTCTCATCCTTCTTATCTTCTTTATCCTTTTGTTCCCTCATCCTCTTTATTCTCTCATCCTCCTTATCTTCTTTATCCTTTTGTTCCCTCATCCTCTTTATTCTCTCATCATCCTTATCTTCTTTATCCTTTTTGTTCCCTCATCCTCGTTATTCTCTCATCCTCCTTATCTTCTTTATCCTTTTGTTCCCTCATCCTCTTTATTCTCTCATCATCCTTATCTTCTTTATCCTTTTTGTTCCCTCATCCTCTTTATTCTCTCATCATCCTTATCTTCTTTATCCTTTTGTTCCCTCATCCTTTTATTTTCTCATCCTCCTTATCTTCTTTATCCTTTTTTTTCCCTCATCCTCGTTATTCTCTCATCCTTCTTATCTTCTTTATCCTTTTTTGTTCCCTCATCCTCTTTATTCTCATCCTTCTTATTCTCATCCTTCTTATCTTCTTTATCCTTTTTGTTCCCTCATCCTCTTTATTCTCTCATCATCCTTATCTTCTTTATCCTTTTTGTTCCCTCATCCTCTTTATTTTCTCATCCTTCTTATCTTCTTTATCCTTTTTGTTCCCTCATCCTCTTTATTCTCTCATCCTCCTTATCTTCTTTATCCTTTTTTTCCCTCATCCTCTTTATTCTCTCATCATCCTTATCTTCTTTTATCCTTTTTGTTCCCTCATCCTCGTTATTCTCTCATCCTTCTTATCTTCTTTATCCTTTTTGTTCCCTCATCCTCTTTATTCTCTCATCCTCCTTATCTTCTTTATCCTTTTTTGTTCCCTCATCCTCTTTATTCTCTCATCATCCTTATCTTCTTTATCCTTTTTTTGTTCCCTCATCCTCGTTATTCTCTCATCCTCCTTATCTTCTTTATCCTTTTTGTTCCCTCATCCTCTTTATTCTCTCATCATCCTTATCTTCTTTATCCTTTTTGTTCCCTCATCCTCTTTATTCTCTCATCATCCTTATCTTCTTTATCCTTTTTGTTCCCTCATCCTCGTTATTCTCTCATCCTTCTTATCTTCTTTATCCTTTTTGTTCCCTCATCCTCTTTATTCTCTCATCATCCTTATCTTCTTTATCCTTTTTGTTCCCTCATCCTCTTTATTCTCTCATCATCCTTATCTTCTTTATCCTTTTTGTTCCCTCATCCTCTTTATTCTCTCATCCTCCTTATCTTCTTTATCCTTTTTGTTCCCTCATCCTCTTTATTCTCTCATCATCCTTATCTTCTTTATCCTTTTTGTTCCCTCATCCTCGTTATTCTCTCATCCTTCTTATCTTCTTTATCCTTTTTGTTCCCTCATCCTCTTTATTCTCTCATCATCCTTATCTTCTTTATCCTTTTTGTTCCCTCATCCTCTTTATTCTCTCATCCTCCTTATCTTCTTTATCCTTTTTGTTCCCTCATCCTCTTTATTTTCTCATCCTCCTTATCTTCTTTATCCCTTTTTTTTCCCTCATCCTCGTTATTCTCTCATCCTTCTTATCTTCTTTATCCTTTTTGTTCCCTCATCCTCTTTATTTTCTCATCCTTCTTATCTTCTTTATCCTTTTTGTTCCCTCATCCTCTTTATTCTCTCATCATCCTTATCTTCTTTATCCTTTTTGTTCCCTCATCCTCTTTATTCTCTCATCCTCCTTATCTTCTTTATCCTTTTTGTTCCCTCATCCTCTTTATTTTCTCATCCTTCTTATCTTCTTTATCCCTTTTTTTTCCCTCATCCTCGTTATTCTCTCATCCTTCTTATCTTCTTTATCCTTTTTGTTCCCTCATCCTCGTTATTCTCTCATCCTTCTTATCTTCTTTATCCTTTTTGTTCCCTCATCCTCTTTATTCTCTCATCATCCTTATCTTCTTTATCCTTTTTGTTCCCTCATCCTCTTTATTCTCTCATCATCCTTATCTTCTTATCCTTTTTGTTCCCTCATCCTCTTTATTCTCTCATCCTCCTTATCTTCTTTATCCTTTTTGTTCCCTCATCCTCGTTATTCTCTCATCCTTCTTATCTTCTTTATCCTTTTTGTTCCCTCATCCTCTTTATTCTCTCATCATCCTTATCTTCTTTATCCTTTTTTGTTCCCTCATCCTCTTTATTCTCTCATCATCCTTATCTTCTTTATCCTTTTTGTTCCTCATCCTCTTTATTCTCTCATCATCCTTATCTTCTTTATCCTTTTGTTCCCTCATCCTCGTTATTCTCTCATCCTTCTTATCTTCTTTATCCTTTTTGTTCCCTCATCCTCTTTATTCTCTCATCATCCTTATCTTCTTTATCCTTTTTTGTTCCCTCATCCTCTTTATTCTCTCATCCTCCTTATCTTCTTTATCCTTTTGTTCCCTCATCCTCTTTATTTTCTCATCCTCCTTATCTTCTTTATCCTTTTTTGTTCCCTCATACTCTTTATTTTCTCATCCTCCTTATCTTCTTTATCCTTTTTGTTCCCTCATACTCTTTATTTTCTCATCCTCCTTTATCCTTTTTGTTCCCTCATCCTCTTTATTTTCTCATCCTCCTTATTTTCTTTATCCTTTTTGTTCCCTCATCCTCTTTATTCTCTCATCCTCCTTATCTTCTTTATCCTTTTTGTTCCCTCATCCTCTTTATTCTCTCATCCTCCTTATCTTCTTTATCCTTTTTGTTCCCTCATCCTCTTTATTCTCTCATCCTCCTTATTCTTTTCTTACTCTCATCCTCTTTATCCTCTTCATTCTCTCGTCCTCTTTATCCTTGGAATCGTTCTCATTGTTTTCCCCTCACTCTTTTCTCTCTCTCTCTCCCTCTCTCTCTCTCTCTCCCTCTCTCTCTCTCTCCATATTGATCAGTCAGTGAATTACTTTTGCAAAAATCTTTGCAAAAATATACAAGTAACGTCAGAATAATTATGGTTGGTTTGATTCAAGATCTATAAATTGACATTAGTCAATGTTTTCCTCCCTTAAGCTTCGTGAAATTTCTACTGAGTTATGCTGCAAAGTTGATCAGCATTGATTAGTGTAATTGAACGTTTCATTTAATCGGACTGATTGAACTTGCATATCAGATAAGCCGCTTCAGATGATTAACATTATCTCCTCCCATGTATCCCTCCTACATGTCCTGACTGTTCTTCAGTCTCAATTCACTTCCTAATGAACAAATATCAAAGCGATACCTGTTCATATTGTAACAGAGACATTCAGAATACACAATTGCCTGAACATCACTACAAAACAATTTTTTTTAAGTTAATTAATCGGGGTTATTTTAACTGATAATTAAGTTTTACAAATTCCTTATTCTATGTTTTTTGTTGTTTTTTTTTATCTGATCCTTTTATAAAATGAAGATATTTTTAGGTCTATTTTCCTACTGTAAACACTTTAGATACACTTTTTTGCTGTTCGTTTGTCCTTACTTTTTTTTAAATGAGAACTGTAGACGCTTTCCACGTAGAAATAGAAGCTAATTTGGGGGTTAAAAAATAAACGGTAAATGAAGTTTTCTTAATTAATTTGAAAATTAATGTCAGTAATAATTTCAGAAAAAAAGATACACCTCAGCTCAGAGATTTTGACCAAGAATACAAAATTAGTCTTGTTTTGTTGTCTGTTCAACCAAAAGGTGAGTTGGTTGAAGCACCCCCGTACCCACTACACACACACACACACAACACACACACACACACAACACACACACACACACTCACTATAGCGCTGTGGATGCACATATTTCACAATTTCTATTATCCATTTGCTGTGGGTTTTTTTTTTATTTCAAAGACCCAGAATATTTCATCTATTTTTATTGGACGGTTTCTAGTTTTCATTGACATTGTCCGCATTATTTCTATGCAGTGGACTCATCTAGTGGTGTCGGAAAGTGTGTGGAATCTTTTTGTGATTTTTCTAATTACATAGAAACGTGTATGGTCATCGTGTACATACATGCACACGATGAATGCTCCAAAAGCAGTGTCTTTCATTTATGCCTACTCTAACTGCAACAGATACAGGAGCCATAATAACAATTTTCGATAAGTTTTCAGCTATAAAATCTTCTCATTAAAATATACTATGTTAAGTTGAAAGGTTCTCAGTTTATTGAATTCACTCATGATAGTTTTTGTCTCGGCTTTTCGTCCGACATTTCGTGGTTTTCATCGTTTTGACTATTTTCATTTTGATGTAATTTGTCCAGGTGAATATGTTCTGGCTTCTAAAAGATATTGTAGATTTTATTGTTAAGTACTTGTAGTGAACAATTACATAGAAATAAGCGAATCAGAGTGGCTTTGCACCTGGTGTAAAAGAAAATACTAACTTTCTCAGCGACACGTAACAGCGACATTTTGTTCCTTTGAAAATCTCCCCTACCCCTCAGTTATTCCAGCGGAAGTGTATAATTCTGAAACATTGGTATTTATACAGCTTAGCGCGGTTCAATCAATAGCAATTCACGTACTGATTGATCAGTCCGGAGGATGAGACTGAAGACGAAGCCAAAGAACTAGTCGGCCATGGTTTTGGCATAATAAAAACAGCTGGAGCAGTGAGAATGGAGAGTGGGGATTTTAAAGTTGGCGACGCATGCGCGAATTCGAGCTCAGTGTCTTCAGAAGGTCTATTCAGTGTTGTACGAGCGGAATCTGAGGAATAGAACCTTATTTAACTAGAGTACTCATCAAATTTTCACACGTAGTATCTGTGTAGTTTTGCTAAAGGCCAAGTGATGATAAGTCTCCTCAATACTTCAGAACATCCCTTAATATTCTTGCTAATTTAATCATGATGCCGTCGTTTCAACAAGATTTCTTCAAATTTCCAGGTCTTCCCAATCTTTTTCAAAAACAAATAGAAGCATTATTATTATTATTATTATTTATTATTATTAATTCATTCATAGTATTCCGTAGATTTTTCTGACAACGCCATTGTTGGTTTTGACAATTTTTGTGTTGGAGTCTGAAAATAAGATAACATGTATTTACGAGTGCTCCAAGCATTTCCAAATTAATATTTTCTGCTTGCGTGCGCGTGTATGGGTATGTTTTATCACGTAACTTTTTGTAAATTTGTCTGTTCTTTATTTTTTCTTCATTGTTTGAGTCGACTGTTCCAAACGTACATTACCTGCCCACTTTGTTCTTTAAAATTACTTTCTGCGATTCGTTTTCAGTCATTTTTTTAATTCACGTTTAGTCTGTTTCTGTGCATGTGTGTACGCGCAGATTTTTTTTCGTTTCTTTTTTGTGCGTACCCAGAGAGAACTCATTCATCATTCAGCTTCCTTCTGTCTTACTTTCATTGCTTTTTTTTTCTTTTCTCTCCTTTTTCATTCTGTCATTCATCTTATATCAGTATTTCTTGTCTTCCTTTCTAGATTTTTCTCTTTCTGTTTTCTCTTTCTCTCTCACTGTTCTTTTCTTCTCTTCTATCTTTGCATGCATTCTTCATTTTTCCTTTTCGTCTTTTTCTCTTTTATTCCTTTCGCGTAGTTTTCTTCATTGTTCTTCCTAAATTCTGCTTCCTCCTTTTCTTTCTTCCTTTAATTCCTTTCTGCAATAGAGAGCAAAAATTCTCTTTTAACCCTCTGTTATCTCCTCATCAATAGGTTTCCCTGGTCTCATCTGATAATGTCCACAGTCATCAAAGCATGTTAATTCCCTTTGCAAATAAGATCTTTCTTTCTTTTCGTTTTTCTTTCTCATATAAAATCGCTAAATTTGTAAACATGTTATCAGAATCCTGAGTGGAGCCTCAGTCAAATATAGAAAATAAATTTAGCTTTCAAACTCTAAAGCTAATAATCCTCAGGATGATATTGGTAAAGGTAATATTAACAGCTTCTTATAAGGAAATTTTCTGTTTAGAAGTCCTAAGGTGATGTGATTTGTTATCTGTTACAGTCCTTTGTTTGTGATTCTGCAGTTCACATGGTTCGACGAAAGATTGTCTTCGCCAAAATCTGCAAGCTTCACTCGTTCAAAGGCATTTTATCCAGCGGTTGTATACAGCTGACAGTTTAGATATTTCTGAACGGGTTTGGTGCCATGCATGACATCCATATGAAAGTCTCGACCTGACGAGTCTATTTAAGAACATGATCCTAGTTTTCAGGTTTTGTATGTGCAGTGTTGGGCAAAATGACTTCTAGTACAGCGTATTCTATTTTTCAATTTCCCTATCGCCTAATGCAATACATCGATCTATTTGAATTTTTTGGTGTTTACTAATTCCACAATCTGAATTTTGTGTCGTCACTGCTTTCATTCCAATTCCAGATCATAGTTTCTGTTTTGGAAAATTTTGTTTTGAGTCCTGTTTCTTGGAATTCTTCGTAGAGAATGCTAATCCTTTTTTCGCGACAAAGTATTCTTATGAATGCTAGAATCTGTTAAGTATTTTCGTTTTGGTTTTTGGTTTTTTCACATCTTAATTCCACAACTTATATTATGAAAAGACACTGTCACTCCACTATAGTACTATTATTATTAATAATAGCAGTGTCAAAAGTATATTCGTTTGTTACAAACTTTCTCCAAAGACGATTCTGTAAACACATCTAAAGACTTTCTTTGACTCTATTAGGTTGTATCAAAACTATTTCCATTTTTTTACAGACCTTACACCCATGGTTATTACACGACTAAAAGTACAGCTCCACAGTGTGTGTGTGTGTGTGTGTGTGTGTGTGTGTGTGTGTGTGTGTGTGTGTGTGTGTGTGTGTGTGTGTGGTAACTGTTACCATTGGGTTTTTTAAATAATCACGTCTAAATGTGTTAATATTGGATTACGCAAGAATGTGTAGGAATGGCATTTTGTTGTTATTGCTAAGTTCGTAAGTAAATTTGAAAGCGGAGTTTTTCGGTTTTCGTTTAATTGTTTGTTTTTGTTTTTTGAATCTAGATTTTCAATTTCTTTTTCTAACAAAAATGAAAACATCGTCTACATTTTAGAGGGTTTTTTTAATCTTTGTTTTCAACATGAAAGAGTAACTGAAGGTTAGTAAGAAAGTACTACCAATAGTAAATCCGTTTGTGCGTGTATGTGTGTGTGTGTGTGTGTGTGTGTGTGTGTGTGTGTGTGTATTACCATTGTGAGTGTAAACAACTTTGCTTGTGCAGGGGTGTAGCATTTGTTTGATAAGTGGAATAAAAAAGATTGTAGACATAGTTGCAAATAATATTGTTTTATCTGTCGGAACTTTCGGGAACAGGTTTTCTACGTTGGGTGAAGCTAAAATGTGGTTGTTGTTTTGATAATGATCTCGATGAATTGATGGTTGGACGTGATATATATATATATATATATATATATATATATATATATATATATATATATATATATATATATATATAACATCCAACCACTATATCAATATTCAGCTGTAACTTGTGTAGCTATGATAATGGTATATTAAAGTATTGAGGGGAATTTTTTTTAGTTTTTTTTAGGCATTATTTTAAACTTATCCTCAAAACCACATAAGCTACTCACGAGTTACAAGAAGTGGAAAGAAATTAAATAATATCTGATGACGACTGTAATAACCACATTTTTTAAAACATTTTAATAATGGCGATTTGTTCGCTGAAATAAATCCTAGAAGTCGACGACGATCATCGTTTATCGACTTGATGCTTTAAAGGTGAGCATAATCTAACCAACAGCAATCGAAAAATGACGGAAGAGGTTGGAGCATTTACAAAAATACAACTGATAGAAATATTTATCATTATTTAAGAAAAAAGTACTGGAATAGCAACTCAAACAAATATACCCACTAAAACGTTTATGGTAAGAAATAATGTCAAATTAAAAATCAATTAAAAAATTACTTATAAGATTACC